ATCCTACCTTACAGTACATGTTTTACTTGTGAGTCACTTGGTACTTGTTTAACCACCCAAAAGCCTTGCTTAATGACAGTAATGGAGAGTCCTCCGATTGCTGTTGCTTAGCAGTGGGGGTCATGTGATGTTGCACTTTGCAACTGCATCTTTTAGTGATTGAAACTTGCTCACAATTAACATAATTAACCAAGGACTACCTGTGTATAAATTGGCAGGAACACATTTTTCTAATATAAATAGTAACAATTGTTATAAGAAGCAGTTGTTTCCTGTTCTTGTCAAGAGAAGGCAGCTGTTTATGTAAAATAGTTCAGTGATGACTTCTGATTTTCTTTTTCAAATAATATTAAATCTGTGCATCTATCCATGTGATTATGTGGAAAGCTATGCTTGATTACATACATACATACATACATACATACATACATACATACATACATACAAGATTATTAATGTAGAAGCCATTTGCAAAGCACAATCTACTATGAATAAGATGAGCAATAAAATCATAAAAGCACAATATGCCAATAGCTTCTGTACATATAACACAAGCTTTTCTCACTAGTGCTCCCCACCTATGTTAGGATTACTGTAGAGTTCTAGAATTTCTAAGCGTTATGACTCTTTACTCATGTGACTGTCTAATTTGGGAGCCAGGCTGGAATAATGGCTGAAATGTTTAGCTCCCTAGAGCTTATATAAAATGTCTCAAGGCTCAAAAACAAAGTAGTTTCTTTCGTCTGTCTAGCAGATTATTAAAATCTGTTTTGCACCAGGAAGGATTTTTTAAAAGTCTACAATTTATCTGCATCCTTGTAATATTATAAGAACAGAAATTGTATCTAAGGTCAATGCTCCTTTTATATTACACTTTTAAATAATAAAAGAACCAATGGGCTATGTTCACATGTCATAAATGTTTATGAGGGAAAAAATAGTGTAGCATCCATCTTTCCATTCTTCATCCTCTTAGATTCATGAATACAAATTAAACAAGTGTTTTGGAAACTATGTATGTTTTATATTTCTATATATGGAGTGGAAAATCAAAAATAAAATTCCTTCTCATTGCATGTACATTCTCACATTACCAGAGAAGAGTTTTGCTTTATATTTGTGCTATGTTCCCTGATATGCTTGCTTCCTATTTCAAAAAAAATATCAAAAAAATATGCAGAAATGTGAAACTTTAAATTTAGCAAAAAAAATATATTTTTAAGTATCTGTTCTGTTTGATTATATTCTTAGAGAGTATGAAGTTAATTTTATTCAGATGATCTTTAAAGTACCGTGAATGGTTTATATAAACCCATCCCTATTTTTATATGTTGGCCAATGGATCTAAAAATAGAAAAGTCTTGAACTTAAATTAGAGAAATCTAAGAATTGGAACTATCCCTTCTTTTACAGTAAATGAATTACTGGTGATATATCTATTACATCATTTAACAAGCATTGTGGTTGAAGCCTATGTAGCTTAAAACAGTTTTAAAGGACACATTAGTTTCATGTGTGAGTATGTTAAAATAGATTTACTTACATTTTGGGAGATACAGAGTGAATACGAGATTTAATGAGATAGAACGTTTCATTATTTTTATCTCATGAAATTTGTTTATTGGCCATAACTAATTATAAAGCTAAAATATAAATCTTGTGCTGTGTTTGCCCGAAAATAAGACAAGGTCTTATTTTCTTTTGGGCTTCAAAATAAGCACTTGGGCTTATTTTTGGTGAGGTTCTACTTTTTTAAAGTGCTACTGCTGGTGACAGGAAGGGTTGCCTCCTGGGCTGGCCATGCCCACCCCTTCACTAGGTCTTATTTTCAGGGGAGGGCTTATTTTAGCCCAAGCGCTAAAGAGCCTGATTGGGCTTATTATCAGGGGAAGTTATTTTTTGGGAAACATGGTATTTGTTTAATCTCGGTGGAAAACTGGTTTGCATAATCTTCTAATCTATCACTGCAAACTCTGTATAAAAACCTATAGCTTAATAAATATATTTTCTTTTAATGCATTAACTGAAATGCAAATTTTATTCACTTCATAGTGCATTAAGATAATCATTCAGTATTATTAATTTGTTAATAGAAAATAACTGTTATTTTTGTTAACAATAATTATTATTATGTTTACCAATTTTATTTGACTGTAATAAAATTACAAGATTCCTCTAATATATACAATACTCCTAAATTATGGTTTTATAGATAGATTGGACCATACCTTTCCACCAGCTAGGCTAAACATACCCATCTACGTGGAAGACCTAGATTGGGGAAATATTGCAGTATACACTGAAGCTGTTCTATCTTATAAAACAAAGCATATTATCCCAATTTTGGGGAATTACTCTGTAGCAGGAACAATATTTAGTTGTGGTTTTCTAAGCATTAAATAGCTACCTTATGTTGTCATATGTTTTAGTAATTTAAGATTTAAAATATATTAAAATATATTTTAATATATTTCAATATATTTTGTTTCCACTAAGACTTATATTCTTTTAGAGTTTGTTGGGATTGCAGATCCAAATCAATGGAGCATCCCACTTTCCTTTTTTGGACTACTACAGAATACAGGAAAAATGACATAGTGCTTTTGATGGAATGTGGATAGATGCCTTCTGAATTTATTCCAGATAGGCTTTCCATTGCTGATTTCAATAGGTTCTGTGCATGGAATAAACATAACATTACTGCAGAGAAAACTTAAATTAGGCATTTGTCTTATATGTAATCAAGTCGAGTACATTAACTTTAGTGATATAGATTTATGTTCTAGAATAAGCAATTAATCTTGGTCTTTAATTTAGTGAGATAAACAGATGGACAGATATCCCAAATAAATTAACAAATTCTAAACTTTAGCTGATTAAAATACTAAATCCAGAAAACTTTGGTTTGCCTTGAAGCATTATTTTTCACTGAACCATTAGAGTTGAAACATCTATTTAAATAAATGAACGCTACTTCTTAACAAAGTTGTAACTACACTAATTGATAGTGAGCACTACTGAACTATGTCTTTTAAAAGCTGATGTTGGTGTTCAAATTCTTTTTGACAATGCTACGCCTGTATATCTGAGAATCTTGCTTGACTCCAATTAAAGCTCTAAATATAAAATCTTTGTTTTGAAGAGCAGATACATTTTGATCCTCTGTTCCTTGACTAAATACTAGAAAAGAACTCGAGATGAAGCATATTATATTAAAAGTGCATTCTATTTAGAAGCCCCTAAAAGGCTTTTAACTCAATGAGTCCAGACCAAACGTATTCATTTCACATTTGCTTTTTTCTTGCTTTTTTCTAGCAAAATTAGGGTCTTTAGTAACTGACAACATAAGAAACAAAACAGTACAATCAGGAGAAAATACTTAGTTCTAGGTTTCACAGGTTCCAATATTAATGCAAAGGTTAAAATCTCTGAATTAGAATCCATTTCTGCCAAAAGAAAAAAAGAATCACCCCACAGTATGGTGTGCCAGTGTGTTTTGTTGTCTCATTTGACAGCTGCTGGGTTTCAGACACTTATTTATTTAAGTATATACATTTAGGGATGAGAAATATTCATAACCTTAATATTCAGAGAGGGAGAATCAAAATGTGCAGGTAGAAAGGAACACTGAGTGCAGGAGAGAAATGGTAAACTGTTGACAGTACATAAGCAGAGATGTGGGTCAATAAAACAAGTGTCCTACAGTGCTGGAATATAAATGGGTTGTTTGTAGCAGGATACAGTACAGACATTTTGCAAAGAGGGAGAGGAGAGCTTCTATGTAACATAATTGAATTGACCATTTCTCTAAAGAACCAGAAAATTATTTGTTGCAGCATTTATCATCTTGGGCAGCCCAGTTTGCCAAACATATTATATTTCTAATAAATAGAAAGAAAAGCCCATGATTCCTGCCCTAAATCACAAATACGTTCTCTTTTTTTGTTGTGACTGCAGTATTTAAGTGATCGTTATTTAATCTTTAAACTATTTAAGCCCAATAGTTTTTTGAAATGTGCTTTAGTGAAGGACAATTAAAATAAGTATTAGCCCATGGTATTATTTTTTACAACAGCATGCAAATTTATCAAGTATGTCATATTTGGCATCCAAAAGATCCCCTAACAGTTCTGTTTCCTTAATTTAACTGGAGCACAAGTAAGAACCTTTGAGGTTTGTAGGTTTGTGACTTTTTAAAAATGAATTAAATAAAACCTCTGATGTCTCATGCCTTGCTAATTTTTGCTTAACTTTCATTTAAATATCCTTTTCTTTTTAGCAGCCAGTTCTTTGTTTTAATT